GTCAGTGCCAATGGCGGTTTGGTGGCTGGTTCGGCGCAGAGTCACGGCAATGCGTCGGTGGCCATTGAGGCCGAGTATGGCGATTTTGTGTGTGGCGCTGCAGCTCGTGTTCTGTATCCCGAAGAGCCGCTTCAAATCAACGTGTCTCGAGCAACGGTGCGCCCCATTCGCGGCTGGTTTGCTGATGGTGACACGACGTGCAGCCAAGCCGTGTACCAGCGGGCCACCGTGCAGGTGATTGCAACGTATGGCTGCGCGAATGAGTGCACTGGCGTGACGAGTGATGTGACGTACCTTTTGCGCGAGGGTTTGAACACGTCGAACAATGCTGTGAGCAATGTTGTTGTGAGTGCAACTGGCCGTGGGCAAGTTGTGTTTGCCGGGCCTGGCAGTGCGACGGTGCTTGCTTACTCGAGTAATGGCGTGCTTTTGGGCGAGTCCATGACCATTGTGGCCAGCGACGAACAAGATCTTCAGGCCATTGAGGTGGATTTGGTAGCGGTTGACACGCTGACCCTGTCAGGGGCGACGAGTGCTCGTCTGTTTGAGCCTGTGCATTATACGTATGCGTATAGTGCATCGTCATTGACGGCGGAGGGCAGTAGCACGACTTTTGTTGCAGCCATTACGCTTGAGGACGGCAGCCGTATCGCGGCTGGTCTGGAGACCAACGGCGTGACGCTGTTCAGCGAAGACGAGAGCGTTCTGTCAGTATCTGGGATGACGGCCACGGTGGTGACGGGTGCCGTGTCCAAAGCAGGATCACTGGTGCGTGCTGTGTGGCAGCCCAATGGCGTGAGCAATGACTGCAACACGACAGCTGGCTTGGCGCTGGGCTATGGGCAAGTGACGGTGGCCCTGCCTGCTGCGACTGGGGTTTCTGTGAGTGGCCAGCCGACACGACTCGTGGTGCAGGGCGATCCTTCCAGCCAGGGCATGGCTGGGCAGGCAACCCAGTTCTCCTTGGGGGTGACGCTGGAGTTTGAGGGAGGATCGACGCGCTCGATGGCACGGGACACTCGTACTGTGGTGAGTGTGTCACCTTTAGGTGCACTAACTGTAGACCAGAGCGAGAGCACGGGGATTACAGTTTACTCAACCAACCAGACGGGCACGTTCAATGTGACGGTGACGTTTAGCAACGCTGCGTACGCAAACGTGAGCACGACAGTGGCGGTCACGGTGACAGCATATGACCGCCTGGAGGTGAGCTCTAATCCTGAGCCCAGCTTTGCGGGCATGAGCGAGAAAACGACACTTGCACCGTTGGCAGGTACTGAGCCCCAGCTTTACCAACAGTTGAGCCTTGGCACCACCATGGTCTTACAGGATGGGTTTGAGATTGCGCTGTCAACCTCGGCTGTGGCGTACAATTTGTGGGCGACGACAACGGCTGGCGATGCAGTGGCCACGTCTGCAGCGCTGGTGAGTGGCAGCACGTCTGTTGTGACAGGTACTGCCGCAGGCAGGGCTTACGTGCAGTGCACGTACGGGCCGGCCGGTGTGAGCAATGCCGACAGCCTGTACCCCTTGGACACGTTGTCAGATGCAGTTGAGGTTGTGAGCTTGGACGACATGACATTGACAGGCAGTGGTGTTTCGACGAGCGGCAGCACTGTGACTGTGACAGGGGTGCAGAATACGGCGCGCGTGGCAATGGTGCAGGTGGGGGCCACTTTTAGTGATGGCACCAAGTACACCTCACTGTTTAGCGGGTCTGCAGGGTCGCGGTCAGCCGTGTTGCCTGGGCTTGTGACGGTGTCGCTGGTCGGCACAGGTTTGACGGTGGATAACGTGACGGGCACCGTTTCGATTGTGGAGAACTCGCTTAGCGGCGTGCTTATCACGGTGAGCGCAACAGAGGTTGCAACGTCTGTTTCAGCAACGCTGGAGGCATTTGGCAATCTGGCGCCGGCTGCTGGGGATGTGGATCTGGGTAGCACGAGCGGTCCTGCAATTGGAGCACTGTCGGTTGGACAAACGACGACGGTTGCACTGCGAGTGAACACAGGTGCAGCTCGGGTGACTGCTTTTCAGGCCAGGCTGGCGCTGAATGCGTCATTGGTGCAGGTTGTGGGCGTGAGCAGCTCATACACTAGTCCGTCGGTGAACATCCGAGATGATGAGGTGGAGTTTAGCATGATTTTGACCAACGGCGTCAGCGGTAGCAACGTGTTGATTGCCAACATTGAGGTACAAGCAGTGGGCGCTGGCGTGGGTGTCTTGACGGGCACGATTGTGAACATGGCCACGGCTGAGTTTGTTGCGGTTGGTGCGGGGCCCTTTGTGGCCGGCACAGTGCCGTATCGTGTGGTGGGTGCTGTGCGCCGCCGCAGCAGCATGAGTACACCAGAAGAGCTTGTGGAGGAGGCCGTGAAGGTGGATGAGCTTCTGGCTGGGGCACGCGCTGTGGCAGCACAGGTGCAGCACCGTCAGCGGCGCACAAGTGATGTCGGTCGCGTGCTGGGTGATTTCGTGGGGCCACGGGCCAGCACGAGCGAAGCCTATGCACCTGACGGGTTGGTTCAGGTTGTGGACGCATTGTTCATTTTCAACTATATTTTGCTGCGCTCGCCTGGTGCGTCGGCAACAGAGCGGGCACCGTATGAGGCGGTGTTGGCGACTCTGGGCAGTGATCCAGATGCACTGGTTGACATTGATCAGAACGGCCGGCTGGAGTACTTTGCCGACACGTTTTACCTCCAGGATGTGAGTGTGCAGATCAAGTACATGTTTACAGCCGAGGTACACGCACCAGAGCCCGGGGCTGATTGCTATACGGAGGTTCGAGTGAATGTGCACGTGATTCCCGGCGGCAGCTTGGACGCTTCGCGGGTGTTCTTCCTTGCTGATCTGGGTATTGATTCTGCCTCGGATGCAGCTGCCGTTCCATTGATGTCAGCCCATGTGGGCAATGGTACGTTGTTACCTGTGGATAAGACGGCCAATGGCTTGTTTGGGGCCATCTTGCAGCTAGATGCTGGTGCGGCCGAGGCAGCACTTGAGTACAACCAGACGATGCATGTCTACCGCGGCACCTTTGTGAGTCGCGTGGAGAATGGCACGGAGGTTGATCTTGGGGTGTCGATCGTGCAGGCTGTCCAGGACACGGCAGGCGAAATGTATGTCTTCTTCTCCGAGTCGTACACGGATGCAGGCTCAGGGCGGTTCGCAGCTCAGCTTGATGTCAATGCCTCCCTCACCGAAGCTCAAGCTTTGAACCAATCCACATCGACAGTGACTATTTCATCAGCCAATATCGGCTATGCCCCCTTGCTGAGCGTCTTGCTTAATGGTTCAACTTCAACCTGCAAGATCGATAATGTGCTGTGCAACTTCGAGACACAATTTCTGTTTGGCGAGGCTGTGGCTTGCACCAATGTCACTATTTGCAACACCTCGTCCTACGTGGCCGTCAATCACACGTTGTTCGCGGACTTGTCCTGCGATCTCGTCACTGAGTGCAATTTTTCAACGGAATATGTTGCCGTCAATGCTTCTTACTACTCTGATGCAGTTTGCTCGAACCGGACGAAATGTGGCAATGATCAGTATGTTCAGTATTCAACAACAGTCTACGAGGATGATGCCTGTTTCTCTGTTACTTCTTGCGGTGATGGCGAGATCGAACAGGCACCTGCAACTGACACGTCCGATCGAATTTGCCTGGCCAAGTCTGCCAGCCGAGACACCAACGTGGGCGCTGTCATCGGAGGCGTTCTTGGTGCCATAGTAGTATTATTGCTGCTTCTCATACTTGTGGTTTTTTCACGTCGACGCAAGGTTCAAGTGGAGACCGACACGGTGTTTACTGCGCACAAGATCACTTACAATCCTGCATACGCGTCTTCATTCTTGAGCAATGATGATCTTCTCGAGTTGGGAAGCTGGAAGTTGGAGTCTTTTGATGAGGAGGCAGAGGTGGCCGAAACCAGCTTTGTTAACCCTCCGCCCGCCGTGTCTTCACCGGGTACAACGTCGGTATCGGAACCTCCTGTGGAGACAGAAGAACCGGTTGCGGCCCCGCCTCCCTTCAGCTCTAGCATGTTGTCATACGTGTCACCACCAGGTTTTACGGTTGACAATGCCGAGGTGCCCGAAGACACGCCGCTGGAATATGTCCCCCCTGCGTATAGTGGCCTTTGGGCGCCACTCCCCACTGACGAGACTGTCCAGAAACCAACTGACCCCTATGTTTCACCCCCGGCATTCACTCCAAGCCCAACACACGAGGTGACCGAGGCTACATCTGAGACGGGGGCAGCATTTGAGGCACCAGTCCCGCCCTCTGGCATGCCTGCACCCGCAGTCGCTGCACCACTACGTATAAATTCAGGGACAGGCGCAGCCGGCGATGCTGATATGGAGAGCGAGTCTGTGGTCGATGATGCTTGGCCCCGCACAAGTAGTTTGGACAATGCTGCTGCCAAGCATCGCTCGGGCTATATGGATATTCCTGCCACGGATGAGCTTGAGTTTGACGCTGAAGAAGCTCAGGCCATGGCATCATCACAAGAGAAAGCCACGGACAGCACGTCTCCGAGTGCAGCTGGACGGGGGCAAGCATCACAGTCATCGGCTGGAGGATTGCTGTCTCTTTTTGATATGACTGTGACTGCTGTGGAGGATGACGAGGAAGTCGTTCTTGATCTCGACATGGATGAGGCAGGCGAGGAGGCCTAATGCGAAAGTAGAGCGGTGTGCTTCTTTTTTTCGACCAGTTCATTGTTATTTTCCATTTTCTTTGTATTTTAACCAACGATTCACACGCCCTCTTTTTGCTCTACTGTGCCTTCACAAGAACGCAATGATTCTTGGCACACAAAGCTTATGAGAAGTTGTAAAAACAATCAATTGATTCAAAAACACAAACAGGCAAAAGAAGGAAAAGAACACGACCTTGCCTTTGCACACACAGGGGAAGGTGGCTGGAGAAGAGGCAAGGTCTAGAAACGAGGGCAAAAATACAGTCCCACGCACAGCGCGACACAATCGGGTAGGGGTGGCAATGATTTTGAGCCCGGAAGAGCAAAGACAACTTCACACCTCATCAGACATTACTAGTTTGCCATTTTAGTTGTTCACACGGCGAACCTTTTCATGCTTGTTCTTTTTGAAATGCCGCTTATTTTTGGCCGGACCTGCCTTGGCTCCAGCGCTGCGCGCACGGCTGCCATTCATGGATGACACCACAGCTTTGACACCGCTCTGCTTGAAAAATTCTTCGTCCACAGTGTTCACATAGGTTGGTTGGTGCTAAATACGAGGGCAAGAACAAAAGATGAATGTTGAAATGAGCAAGGATTTGTGAAAAAGAGAAGATAAAGCACATATGAAGAAACGACGCCATTCGAGGAATAGGTGTATGTTCCGCTAACCCTGGGACCGGAGATGGAAGCAGAGTCACTGTCCAGAAGTGCAGAGGCCTTGGCCATGGCTTCAGCTATGCAAAGCGATACAAACGTGAGTGAAGGAACCTCCGTGTGGCGCTGTCATGATGTATTTGGAAGGCGTGAAAGATGCGCAAAGACAACATACTTGGCACCATGGAGACAAGCTGTGGATAGCCAGGAGGTGGCTTACAAAACAGCAATTTACCCTGAAACCCAAGAATGCACCAATGATGAGCCTGTAAGCGACAAGTGCATCTAAAGAGTTTCGATTCGAAAGATGCACTCACCTTGACGTAGTCTTTCAGCACAATGCGGCCACCGCGCTGTACATCGGGCAAGCCACGGGCGTTCATAAAGCCGCGGGCAAAACTGAACGCGTTCAAAAACTCGTATGCAGTTGGCGGGCGGTCCACACTCTAAGCGCATCCCAAAATGTCAACTCATCGATGGGACCAGAACGAAGAGATAACCCAAAGAAAAGAGGGGTCATGACAAGAAAACAATGGGAATACCTCGCCTTCAGCTGGTCGAATGATGCGAATGCCATAGGTTGACTCGAGGATGTGGCGAGGGATGGTGTGGCAAACGTGGGCGCTTGGGGCTGTCTCGCATGAAAGTGCCAAGTAAGCGTACACGGGTACCAGGAGAAAAAAAAAAACATATGAGCAGATGTCAACGATCAGGAGTGTACGGTGAGGGAGCAAGAAAGCGCGAGCACTGAGCCACAACGTACGAATTGTGTCACGCAATTGATCAACAGGAAGGATGCCATTGCACACCAGCTCAGCCTTGGATTTGGCAAAGTTGGGGAATACGAGACCAGGACAATCGCAGAGCGTCATCTCAGGAAGAAGGATGGTCTGGAAGTGCTTTGTTTTGCCGGGCGTCGCTGACACGGAGACACGCTTTGAGCGGCAAATCGCGTTGATTGTCGAGGACTTGCCAACGTTGGGGTAGCCAACTAAACCAATGACTGGGTGTCGGTCTTCGCCCACACCCTCGGCCAATTGAAGCAACAGATCCATGAGCTGTGACACATCATAGAGCTGAGTGGGGTTGACCGTCAGATGTCGCCAAACATCAGTGTCCTCCTCAATGGCCCCGAGCGTGTCCTCCTCCTCGTCATCCGCAGTAAAAAAGTTAGAACCTGCTTGACCAGATAGCAGGCTTGCATCGGCCGCAGCTACGTTAAGATTAAGTCCACTAGAACTCGTGGTGGGTTCGCTGGCGGCCGCCTGGGCAGAGGCACCCTGCGCATCCTCGGCTTCGTCATCATCAGGTGTGGGTGTCTGGGCTCCATCGTCGAGATCGGATGCCGCATCGTGATCATCAAGCAGTCCCTCTGCATCCTGATCATCTGTCGGCTCGGTCTTTGCTTCATCCTTCTTGACCTCATCGTCCTCTTCATCGTCATCATCTTCCTCGTCTTCAACGGCAAGCGCTGCGAATCCACCCTTGCTCTGTGAGGATAAGTATCAGAAGCCTGTGAGCAGGATCCCAGAGAAGCAGTATCTGGCAAGGATGGGTAACGCAAAAGAGACAAACAGGAGGCAGGCAGAAGGGCGTCTGTTCATGGGCGGGATACGTACGCTTTGAAGTTTTTTACGAAAGGTATTGGACAACAAATCTAGATCCTCGTCCTTGACAGTCATTTCCTCCATGACGCGAGCTTCCTCTGCGGCCTCGTCTTGAGCTTGCTTCGCAGCTTCCTCCTTGAAAAAGCAAAACAGTAGGCGGCTAAGTGGAATCTTCACACAATAAAAACAGTTGCTTAAAAGAATGCTTGAGAAGAAATGTCTACCTCATTCCGTTGCGTTTCCAAGGCTGCGGAGAAAAAAACAAATGGTGTTCCTTGCTTGAGAAAGTAGTCGGCCCATTGAGCTCTGCCAAGTCAGGCGGCGTGCATTGATGGGACAGTGACGTGAGGCGGGCAGAGAAGAAGAAAAGAGAGAGAGAGAGAGAGGAACATCTCAAAACATGTCAGTACCCACCGCTGATCCTCAGAAAGCAAATCGGCTTTGTTGATAAGCAATAGGTTGCGCTTGGTGGAGTCAACCTGTGAAAAAAAAAAAAAAAAGAAAGAATAGTGAGCCAAGTCAGGCGTGAAAACAACAGAAGCACGTAAACTATGAACCAACCTCTTTCACGCAACCTTCAAGATCACGGCAGCGGAAGAGCAAGGGGTTGCGTGCATCGACGATCTGAACAATCACATCACTACACGCCATTGATATGTGAGCAACACACACCCCAGTTTGACAGCAACAATGGGAGAAAGCAAAGGGGTGTACGAGCCAGCATCAAGAGCCATGAACGAACCTGCGCTCGACGACACGCCACAGCTGACGCCAAAAATCAAGATTGCGCTCAAATGGGGTCAGAAGAAGATCAACGTTCTCTTGTAGGACCGCAAGCTCACGGCGCCAGTTCAAGAAGCTGGATATGTCAACAGAGTAAGCCACAAGTCTCAAGTACAAGCGATCAAGGGGGCAGCTCAAGCGCCAAGAAAAAAAAAAAAAAAAAAAAAAAAAAAAAACAGGCAACAAACCTTTCGCGCTCGATCTGTTGAAGCTCCTCGGCACTCATATCACGCGTCCAGGCTGGACGACGAGGAATGCGAAGATACTTGCGGTTCTCTCGTCGCGCGGCTGCGCCGCGTCTGTCAACAAGTGAAGGGCGCACAATGAAAGGCATGAGAAGTTTGCTTCAAGATGTGGCTTCCATTTCATTCGTGCTGAGAAGAGTCCCCCCGAAAGGAGCACTGCGTGTCAGAATAGAACAGCGTACTTGCGCATCTCCAATGAGGGCAAGGCATCATTGACTTGTTCAGTAACGACTCGGGCGTTTTCACGTTCTACGAGGGAAGCGCAGAAGACCGCAAGATGAGTCACGAGGCCATTTGGTCCTAGGCTCAGCACCACCAAGGCCGTCAAGAGTGTGACTGGGCTAGAATGCACGCCCGTTCTGGACGCATACCAGCTGTGAAATCGGTGCCGGCCAGCTCGGCGGTTGAGAGAAAGTCATCCAGAGCATTTTGTTCTGTCACGGACACGCCTTGCGTGTTGGTCCAGGAGAAGCCATCATCAAGGTCTGAAGTGTGAGCCTGAATGCAAAACCGAACAATAGAGCCAGGAGAACCAACACGTCAGCGTGAGTTGTGCCGGCCGACAGGCTCCAAATTTGCGTGAAAGAGTTGCATGACTGTCGGTGAGGGAGCAAATGGTGCGGTCTTAGAGTTGGGACAAACGCACCACACTGCGTTCGCCACTGGAGCCATGATAACCGCGGAAGCGGTCCTTGATGACAGCCTTGCCCAAACCCGAGGTTTGGGCTTGCTTCTTCTTGCCCCCCATGTTGATTGTGAGCCAGAGTCAGCCCAGAAACAAACAAAGACTCCTGTTCGTCGAGAAGACGGGCCTAAGAAACCAAAGCCCAAAGAGTGAAGGAGAGCAAACCAAACACTTGTCGCCGAAGGAAAGCAAAGCGATCACAGTGCTCAGCGCGCGCGACGGCGGGAACGCCTGGAAGCCGCAGGAAGACCGCGACACAGCGCCGACAGCGACGACAGCCAGCGAGCCACGTGACGAGAAAAAGCTCCTGTCACGCAAACGTCATTGGCCGCCTCACGATGCTCCCAAACCAGGCCATGCCCAGAAAGACCCAATGACGGTTGTGCATATGCCCCATCGCCGCTGATATCACCACCGCACCCGGATCATCAGCCCCGGGACCCACTGCCGCTGCCCTTTGCCCGTCACGTCACACACACACACACACACACACGCACCGTCAATGAGCCAACAAAGTCAGAGATATGTGTCGACTCTGGTTCAAACTTGCGTAAATTACAAGGGGCTCAACTGGGGCTTGCAGAGATGCAGCTTGGGGCTGATGCGACCGCGTGTGGCCTGTTGAGCTTGTGCAGAATGTCAGAGAAACAGAAATATGTGTTGACAACAGTTGTTGTCTCGGAAATCAAACAAGATCGTTTTCACTGCTTTCGATTGTGTGTGTGTGTGGGGCTTCGTGTGTGTGAGAGAGAGTTCCGCTGCGGCGGGGGCTCCAACAGGCATCTAGTTCCAGGGACGAGGTTGCAAGAGCCTGGATGGAGTGTACACGCGCAGCAGGTCGGGCACATAGTGCAGCGTCACTGGACGCGACAAGTAGTTGGTGCCATCTAGACTGTAGTTGACAGCATGTGACAAGGGCATGGGTTCGGCCACAGCGGTTTCCGCCTCTTCGCCGGAGGATGCCTCGGACGAGACGGGTGCTGGCTCGGCCTCAGGTGCTGGTGGCATTTCCGGTACCAGACGGATAGACTTCATGGGCGTGGTAGTGACAACGGCAGCATCCTCCTGCCAGGCTCCGCCCTGGAAATGCAACATGAAGTAAGCACGGCGCCAAGCAATGACGACAGGGCAAGAGTACAGAAGGGAAAATGATATCAAACCTGGCGCATGCGAAACACGCCACGAATCATGTCTAGCAGCGAGGCTTCAGAGCCACTGTACATCAAGGTCATGCCTTGCTGGGCTGAAGTGCCTTCTGTTCTCCAAACACAAGCAGAAGTCAGTCACCAACCACAAAGCCCACATGTGAACCAGAAAAGGAGGATTTGGGGTCGACGAGATGAAGAGGGATGGCTTGGGGTGTGGAGGAAAAAAAAAAGGCATCAAGGAAGTACGAGGGCGGCACCGACCGGGCAAGAGGCGTCGAGAGCCGCAGCACCAAAAGTCAGAGCAAGTTGCGATGACCGACGAAAAGCGCGTGGTCACCTCCATCTGTGAGCCATCCGCCCTACATGTGCAAACCCAGCCAAACGCCAAAAGGACCATGAGAAAAAAGCATGACAAGACTGCAAGAACATGCGGGGCTCAAGCTAGTCGCCATCAACTTGGTACTTGCCGCTCGCCGGTCAGCACAGCCTGGCAATCGCGCGCTTCGCTGAAATCCCAGATCAAGCCAACCAACGCTGCGACATCGTAGCGAGATTGATTGGGCCAACGGCGGATTTGACCGCGACGAGCAGCTTGCCCGAACATTCCCCAGCCCATGTGGCTCTGTTACACACACCGGCACAAGTAAAATTCAACATGACGCATCAGACGAAACCTGGCTCAAGTAGGGAGAGGAGGGCGTACGAACCAGGATGTAGGACGGCATCTCCGTGTCATCAAAAGCAACTACCATGCCAGGAACCGTGGTAGTACGGCCTTCCACGATGCCCAAAGCTGCCTCATGGGCCAGGCTACGTGGCACGAGACCACAAGGCGGCGAAAATTAGGCGGAAAGAAGAAAAAACAAACAAAAAAAAAACAGAAAAGGCCATGGCAAATAGCACGTCATACATGGTACGATCAGAGGAGTCGGTTGCTGTAAGTTGACGGAAGAGGTTGTTGGAGGTACCGACGGGCACAAGGCCCACGGGTTTAGTGCTGACAGTAGCGGCATCAGGTCGTTGCTTGAGTCCCGTTACCGCCTAAAGGCCGACCGCGAGCGCAAAAGACTGAGCCAAAAAAAAAAAAAAAAAAAAAAAAAAAAAAAAAAAAAAAGCGGGGGAAGCGGAGACCGTCCGGTCGGAGGAGGTGCTCAGGGGAGAAGAGGATGATGTAGTGATGCCGACCTCTTGCAGAAAGCCATCACCGCCCACAACCACGACGTCGTCATAGCGTGCCAAATCTATGGGGCCGCATCGGGGTGAAAGCCTGGTGAGTGCAGGCGGAACCACATTTGTAGACAGCTGTCACCTCGGACCACATTGTAGACGTGGCCCAAAGGTCATCAGATCTACCGTGTGGTGTCAGCACACACATTCATACCTTGGTTGTAAACGATTGTGCGGACATCCTCCCTACAAAGAGCACCAATCGTTTGCAAGCGCCGGGTGCACATGCGCAAAAGTTGAGATTGAGGCTGAGAGAGCCGAGCTTGAAGAAGTGAAAGCAGTTGAATGTGGATGCAAAAAGACAGAAGTGCAGGGCGCTGGCTTGAAATCGATACACACGTTTGCTTGATGCGGCGCACGTCAAAGTCGACGCCGGCCAGATGAAAGATGGGCGCCACTTCCTTGTCGAAGAAGGTACGGTTCTCGCCGTCGCCGGCTCGTGGATGCAGGACAACCCACATACGCCGGGGTTCTTGATTCGGGTCAAGCGACATCTGACCATAGTCCTGAGAAACAGGGACGCATTGAGTGAGTGCAGCGAGCTTTTGCTCTTGTGGGCTGGTGCGCTCGCGCAAGGCCAGCCGTACCCGTGCTGCTTCACAAAACGTTTCACGATGAAGCATACGGCTGAGGGGTTGCAGGCATGTGCATGAGCAAAACAAGGCGCTTTTGCAAAGTTGACGCGGGTCAAAAAGCCAATGGCCTGCGGAAGAGCCAAGGGGAAAGGCAAGCGCAGGCGCGAGAGAGGACACATGCACAAACGTACTTCCAGCGTGTCATGCCTGCATCGTAGATGAGGTAGCCAACACCCACGGCTGCTGCAATTTTTTTGGGATGATTGCGCACCATGCGCACAAAGCCACCGAGAGTTGGTGCCATCTTTCAGGTGTCCAGGAAACCAGCGCGCTCTTTTTTTTTTTCCAGGTCAGCAGGAGCGATACGAAACCGGTGTCGACGCAAGTCCAACTCGTTCAACGAGCTCGGTGTCCAGCGTGCAGGCACCCAAGCGGTTGCCCGTGCCCTTGCAACAACCCCCTATCAAATCAACCGGCCAAGCTACCGTCCACTCTTCAAGACCACCACCACCACCACTGCCACACAATCAACAACGCCGCCCTCTCAACCCGAGAACGACCTCCTAAATCCTGCAAAAGTGCGCCCAAATGTGCCGTCTGCAAATTTTGCACGTGTGTATGTACGTGGGTGTGTTAACTATTTTGCTTCTGTTTGTCTCTCAAACTCTCTCAATGTCTCTTGTGTCTCTCAAACTCTCTCAAACTCTCTCAAACTCTCTATCAAACCCTTTCAAACTCTCTCAAACTCTCTCTCAAACCCTTTCAAACTCTCTCAAACTCTCAAACCCTCTCAAACTCTCTCAAACCCGATGTCAGATGAAACGACTGTGGAACAACTCGCCTCGTCGCCTTTGGGCTCTTGGCTCAAGAGGTGTCAACTGAGAACAAGGGTGGTGTGAACCAGAGCCACGCGGGGTACATCTAGTTGGCCCGGCAAGTCGACGGTGATCAAACTCATTCCTACCCGATCAATTCCAAATCTATCAATTATTAGCATGAAAGTTTCTCTTACTGACATGGTCAGGTCATGATGGTGGGTGTGCCAACACCAACACGTTTGGGGGGTTAATAGACCAGAAAGCCGGCAGCACAGCGAGGCTCGGGCAAATCAACACTGGGGATCCAGGTGGTTTGATCAGGAGAGAGCACGTACGTCCGAGCCGATACGTGCGTGAAATTGGTACCACCCAGCAGCCACAGCTGGCCCTGGAACTGAACCATGCCCGCCGAGGCCAGCGCCTGAGGCCATGCTGCGCTGACGGACCAGGTGGTCCCGTTAAAGTAGGCCATGTCATGACGAACCACAGACCCGCTGACGGCACCACCTCCCAGGTAGATGCGATTGTTGAAGACGGCAGCCGCCACGGCTCGGCGGGGCCATATTGTCGAGCGCCCCTGACGCCATGTGGTGCCGTTGAATATGACCACCGAAGTGATGACCGACGTTGTGCTCGATGTCGTGCCAGCCAGCACATGGAGTTCATCTTGATACACGACCGCAGCATGGTCACTGCGAGCTAGCGGCATTGCTGGCAATGTAGCCCAAGCACCATTGCGGAGAGCAAAAACATGGGCCCGCGTGGCACCATCAGAACCACCCGTGAGAACCAACTCGCCTCGGAAAAAGACGCAGGCTGCCTTATGCCGTGGATCGGGCAGCGCTGGGCGGGTGACCCATGACAGGCCATTAAAGGACTGCACGTCGTTCATGATGCCCCCAAAGCGGCCCCCCGCCACGTACACTTCACCGGCATGTACCGCAACGCAAGCATCGGTACGAGCATCCGGCATTGCGGGAGCCGCTTGCCAGCCTTGGCCGTCAAAAATCCGCGTCGAGTTGAGGCGAAAGCTCCCGGTGGTATGTCCTGCCACCGCCATCAAATGGTTGCCATGCCCGTAGATGGACGCCCGTCGCATTCGCGAGGCCAGCGTGCTCAAGCGTTCCGCGTTGCTTTGCAGCGTAATCAGCGCCTCCGAGTGCGGGCCCACCTCCTGGCCGTTGAAGAAAACTCGCGCGGACTGACCGTCGGAGCTATGCGAACTGTTGATGTACAAATTCCCGTCTTTGTCGACATGCATGCCCGCTTCAATCAGGTTTGCGGCAACGACCTGCTGCGCAGCGAGCAGAGACACAGAAGAAAGAAGAAGCAGCACCACATGACCACCAACCCAAGGGTGGTCAGCCCCGGGCGAGGTCCCAAAGGGCATGATAACCGTGCCCACCCCCAACCCCACCCCCCTCTCCGACTCGCGGCAAGCACTGCCCACAAGAAGAAGCACACACCCGCACACCCCAGCAGAGCAAATGCGCTTTCAGCTTTGACAGCAACATGCTGACAACATAAAGGTCTTGATAAGTCTCATAAATTAGCACTAGTTTCTCGAATAAAACTACGCAAACTCCTCATGTCTCTGTAATAACTTTATGGCAGGTCGTTTCTTATGCACGTTGTGCTGCTTCGGGTGCTCGGCGCCAAGGGAGGGGCGAGAGAGGGCAGCGGAGCGGTCAGGGGCGCTGATCAGGTATGTGTGTGCCCGCGTAGAAAGTGATGCCATGGTTTGATGACGAATACAATTCTTTTACGGGTGATTTGTCAAGTTGTGAACAAGGAGGGGAACACGACACAGTCGCGAACGAGCCATGAAGAGTCATGGCAGAAGCCCCTGGCACGGGCGGGAAGAGGCAAAGGGAGGGCAGGCTGTCCATGGGCTACAGGTTAATGACTTCCCTTATGGCAAAGTTGTTGAGGATGGTAGTAGCATTGGCAATGCTCTCGGCGGGTATGTTGAAATCGGGATGATTGAGCAATAGGCCAACGCGGAACCGAGTAGTTCCTGGGCGGAAGGCCAGCTGGTTGGTCAAGTCATCAAACCAGGCCTCACCCGTGACACGTCCCACAGCGGTGCGAATTTGAGTTCCGTTGGCGGGAAGAATAATCGGGTAAACGTAGGTATAGCTGCGGTCGTGGAGCATGGCGTAGAGGCTTTGACCTTGCGCGGCAAGCAGGTCGCGCACCTCTGAAGGCAGGCTCAAAGCCAACGTGGCCAACGAGGAACTCGGCTGGGGAGTCTGCAGCACCGCACGGAGCGTTGTGGTTACCACAATCAAGGGCAGTTTGTCTGTGCGCCCTGCGTAGATGCCCAGGTGGATCGTCGAGTTAGAGGCTGCCTGGTACAGCGCGACGGCTTCGGCACTCGCATGCACCTGGAGCCAGGTGGCCATGACTGCTTCTATTGTCACTTGGCTCGCCACATTGCGCCGGACAAGGAGACTGGTGATTTGTCGCTCCTCGGCCCAGCAATCAATCAACACGTAATTGACGACACCACTCATTGGCACCAACGCCTGAAAGCTTCCGCTCAGCTCGAGGGAGGTGGTGCCCGCACGCACTCGCTCCGGCAGGGGATAAAACTCAGTGCTGAGAACGACCAGAGGCCCACGCACAACTGTAGAAGGTATGGACAGGGCGCCATACGGCTCAAGAGGGCCCGCTTCAAAGTCCCAAACCTGCCGACTCTTGTTGGCAGCGTCCAACTGTCCCAAAACATTCCATGCTCCGGTCCACACGGCACCACCCGCTCCACTCGTGAGAACCAGAGACCCCTGATCGCCAACTCCAATAGAAGCGTCACTGGTCTCCCCGGGGCACGCTCCATCAAGCATAGCCACTGCCAGCACCACCGCCAGCCATCGCTGCCGCCACCGCCGATGCCGCCGTTCCAGCTGTTGCATCTCATTGAATGTCAGAGTTGAATGCGCCATTGGTCGTTGAAGTGCGTTGACTTTTTGCAGCGAAATTGTGACTTTTTGTTGCTCTCATTAGCTTTTATGAATATGACTTAACACCTCCCTTTAAACATGATGTAGTGTATGTCAGACATGTTGTTGATGGCGAAAACTTTACGAGTTCCTGGTGTCATGGATTTTTTGATTGTTTTTTATGGAACGGCAAGGGTGGCGTCGCTGCTCGTGGAATTGATGCCCGAATCAATAGATTTGAAGCTACAGGCCACATGATGGATGGCATAATCAACACTCAACACTCAACACTCGCCGAATGTCCGGGCAGAGCGGTTCCAAATGCACGAAAGAAAGGCGTGCGAGTCACGAGCGCTGGCTTAGTTGGACATGTGGGTCTGGCAACCCTCGCATGCGCAGCGTCCGGTCACGTCCAACGCAAAGAGCGGTTTGAAGATGCCCAGGTCCATCATCTCGGCCCAATTCCAGAGGCGATTGCCAAAGGAAGGATGCGACTTCTTGAAGCTGGTGCCCTCGTCTTGCCGGCCATTGGGGTCGGCTGAGGTAGGACGTGGGTCCCAACCTGAACCCATACGAGCTGTCCAGTGGCAATGACCCACCACGTTCTTCGAGTTGAGGATCACTGAGACCTGGTTGGCGTACAGATGTGAGAGGAACTTGGCGACCGTGGCGTTGTCCACGTCGGAAAAGGCAGGATCCCCGAGATTGGTGGCGGTCGACCACTCGCCGATGAAGGTGGGCAAGCCCGCATCGGTGTACTGACTCCAGCGCGAGTCGGTCTCGGTCGCGTTGCAAGAACGTGCCAGCGCCTCATCCATGGTGAGCGGCCCGTCCCAGTTGTAGTAGTTGTGGTAGTCAATGAGGATGGCCGGCAGGGCCCCACTCGTTTGCTGGGCCTTGACCCAGGCGGCCATGCCGTCTTGGTTGGGGCTGATAAAGTTGAGGATCAGCTGCACGTCGAGCTTGGCCTCCGAAAACTGCTTGTGGGCAGATGGCGCAGTCGCCATGATGTACTGCTGGATCTCTGATTCGAGATTGTTCCAGCTCAGGCCGGGTTCGTTGATCAACTCGAGACCGACGATCGTGTCACTGTAGACCGAGTGCTGCTGGAGCCCGACGATGAAGGGGACAATGGTCTCGGTGACCATCTCGGCACCATATTCGAGGTACGTCTTGTCCGAGCTTCGTCGGGATTGGTAAAACCCGGAACTGGCGCACGAGGCCGAATTTGTGGCGGGTGATCCTTGCCAGAAGGACTGTGTGAAAAGGTGTGGCGATGGTTGAATGTAAGGCATGGATGCATCTTGTAACAGCATGGACGGCAAGTGATGTTCGGAAGGTAGGGGCGGCTGGAGCACTAACCTCATTAGCGTTCGCCACGGACCAACCCGAGTAGGCGGAGCACTTGCTGGCACCTCCAATCTGGGCATGGACATCTAAAATCACCTGCACACCGACACGAGTGAGCCGGCACATTGGCAGTGGACTGGCTCCAAACCGTGTGATGCGTGTTCATGATGGTTGGTGTGGGGGCATGAAAGGCCTGATGCAGTCGCGAGACGTGATCAACGGACCTTGATGCCACGATCCTTGAGCTCAGCCACGACCTCCAAAACGTGATTGACACCGCCCGTCACAAAGCCCTCAGCACTCAAGCCGTAGTTGTACATGGTGGTGTTGAAATCCGTCAATGGCGTGTCGAAGGTATGAAAGCCCACGGGTAGCCTCACGTGAGAGATGTTTGCCACAGACAGCATGTCGTACAATTCGACCGGGATATAGGAATTCCTGGTCAATGCGACCAGCACAAGGTAAGTGGATGGACGGTGTCTTTATGAAGCAGCATTGCACCCGGAATTTTAGACCGAAAATCAAAGACGAACCAGTGGTTTCGAAACGTTTGGATGGCGTAGTCAAGACCATCCTCCTTAATCAGCTGGGCGACAAAGTCGGCCTCACATGCAGCTTCAAACTTGTCGTACATCCAGCTTGTCTCCAAGATGAACAAACCACCAAAGTTGACGCCGTTGATAAAGGCAGAGGTGGTGGTGGCCAATGACAACAAGGCCACTAGCTTGAACAGAGAGGTCATGCTTGCGGTGGAGGTATGTCCAGCTCTTCGGCTGCTCTGAAAAATGCCAGTCAGCTCTGTGGAGGCTGGTCATCCGTTACAGGGCAGACGAAAAACACGCGAGCAAGCTGAGTAAGTCGATGGATTGCAAGCAGAGGAGAAGATCGCAAAACACCAATGCTTGATCTAAGAAGTGAGCATTGCTCAAGCCTGCACAGTGATCGGGTCTTCTCTAATCTCATGCAAGCAGATGGCACGCCCAGTGCCCAACTGTGCACGCACCCCAAGTTTTTCAAAGATCCCCAAAAGGGTCTAGGTGGTCAAACGAGACGCAGGCACCAGGCCCGACCAGGTATTCTTGACTGATTATGACAACAAATCGAGTCCGACCGGACGCCTGCCCCAAACCCGCATGCGCAACAGGGAGGTAAAACAGACGTACGCACGCACGCACGCACGCACGCACACACACAGAGACGAATCGGCACCGCCGGCAACAGCAATGACGTAATCGGTCGCACTGACACTTGGTAATCTACCCGTGAACCAAGATAGGAGGGGTGTGTCAACTTTGGTGAATCGTCCTTTAAATTGTAAATTTTGTCTTGTAATTTTACATTTGTTGGATGAAAAATCACAAGCGTGCAAGTGTGTGTGTAGGAGATTTGTAAGCTTAAACATTAAGGACTTGAAGAGATGTGTGTGAGTGTGTGTGTGTGTGTGTGTGTGTGTGTGTGTGTGTGTGTGTGAATTTTCGTCTTTCTCTCTCTCTCTCTCGCTCTCTCTCTCTTGAGAGACGTGATGGCACAAACGGCAGCCGGGGCTTCGGCTCCTGCACCTTCTGGCATGATGATGGCCCCTGTGCCAGTGACGGAGCTGGCACTGCGTGCTACCCACGGGAATCAGAAATTTCTGGTGCGTTTGTTTCATTCAAAACCTTGCCCGGCTCGTCCATGCACCCCTCCCGCCTGCCGCTCGCAACAGCAACACGTGGGAAGCCTTTATGTGTGTGTGAGAGATGGAACGTGTTGTGCTCGATGGACGAGCGTCTGGCAACCAAAAGATGGCAGCGGGGATCGGCTGCTGCATTTGATAATCTAATGGGGAGGGGTCTGGCATTTGCACATGGGCAATGCCAGAAGGGTCTGGGCTGTCGATCCGATCTCGCCTGCGATGCCATTTGACTGCATTTACGTACTTTTTTTTTTTTTTTCTCATTCACGTTCTTGTCGCCTGCAGTTCACGGCCTCGGTCTTTGACGACACGGCCAACTTGCCCAATCTGATTGCTACCCAGTACCAACGCAGTTTTAACAAGTACGCGACTGACGTGAATTCGTTTGTTTGTTTGCTTCTGCTGGGTGTGTTGTTCCGGTTTGGGTTGTGTTTCGAGACACCGCATCGTCTTGCTGATGAGGTTGGCTGCTCTGCTGTGCGACTCAAACGTCGCCCCCTCGCAGGCCCATCAAAGTCGTTTCGGTCAAGACTGCCGATGGTGCACTAGTGGGCCCAGGCATGCGCGTTCAAGCTTTGTCCAACCTGCAGGAACTGGTGATCACCACCACCCAGGGCAAAGATGCGCAAAATGCCACGACCGCCACCCCAACTGCGGCAAACTCGGGAGCTGAACCCTCAGCCAAGCGCAAGAAGCGGGCCAAGGCCAAGGTCAAAGCTCAAAATCAGGGTCAACCTACTCCGGCCGCTACTCCGGCCGCTACTCCAGCCGCTACCCCCGGTCGCCCAACCTCTTCGGTTGCCCCCGCAGTAAGCACGCCAGCAGCAGCACCCGAACAAGCCCCGAAGCGCCGTGGCCGTCCCAAAAAGAATTCTGCCCCCGCAGATTCCACCACCCCAGCCCCTGAAACCAGCAGTGCACCTCCAGCTGTTGCAGAGGCCCCTGCTCCCAAGAAGCGTGGGCGTGCCAAGAAGCAAACCGATGCGACCACCCCAGCCACAGCCACAGCCACCGCCACCGCCACCGCCACCCCGAAAAAAGCCACTACCACCGCCACCCCAAAAAAGGCCGCCTCCAAGGCCTCGGCCAAAACCTCTGCAGCTGAAAAGGACGCTGCTCCTGAAGCTGAGGCTCCCCCCAAAAAGCGACGTGGCCGCAAGCCCAAGGAAGCAAGCGCTGCCACCAACCCCGCGCCGTCTCCTGCCCCAGCCCCGCCAGGTCAGACTACTTTCTCACCCCTTTCCCTTGAAGACATCCAGTCAAAAGGTGCTGTGTTGTGCTCATGTGGTTCGTCCATCCTCACCAATGTCCGTCCCACCCTCCCAATGACTCGCGATTCTATCATGGTCGTAAAGTACCGGAAGCGCCCAAGAACACGCGCAAGGCTCTGCCGGGTGAGCCCGCCTGTCTCATCTGCAAGACCTTTTTGCCCAACGTGGACTCGGAGGATCAGTGCCCCAACTGTGGATTTGAGGGTGCAGGTGTTGACGCACGTGAAAAGCGCTTGCTGGAATCTGCCTCCCAGGGAACATCTCAGCCAACTGTCGTTGCGGTACGCTCGTGAACCTACCACCATGGGTTGTCTTGGTTGTTTGGTTGTCTTTCTGTCCCTCCTCCGCATTTTGGAGATTGGTTACATGCTGTTTGGTGTTGGTTGTCATGGTGTCCTGAATTGGGGATTGTTGAGCAAGGGCAAGTCGCTGCTGTTCTTCCGCACTAGAGCGAAGAACCCAAAAAAAAAACAGGCCGTATGCTTGTCTTGGTATCGGCCCGATGTCTGTTGTTTTGTATGTAAAGGGTGCCCCTTGTTTTTTTTCAATGTTTTTGCATGTTCAGGCCGCCCCTGACTTGACTGGGTGTGCTCGGCGGCTCTCCGCCACGATCTTGAAACAGTTGTACTTCTTGCTTCCACCACCCTGGATACCACTGTTCACCATCCCCTTTCCTTTCTTGACCCCGCCACCTCCTGCCCAACGCACATACAATCGTGTTCAAGTCGTGGCTACCCCTCATCACATCCATGACGGTGCGCGAATGCATGTAGACGCCCACGACCCCTGCGAAGAGCACCGAGAAAGCAAGCCCTAAGCCGGCCAAGTCGACACAAGCAACACCCAAGCCTACCCCCAAGCCTGGTATGGACCTGGTCGTTCTGAGCCTAAGGCTTTGCTTGTGTGCACAGCAGAGTCTCACTCCTCCTGTTGTCACTCATGTCAGCCGACTCAGGTGCTCAAGAGGTGAGCACCCCTGCAGCCAAGAAAGTGGCAAGCAAGCAGCCTTCTGATTCTGAGGATAGCGAGGATAGCGAAGATGACCGCGATGACGAGAAGCGTGATGCCAGCGGTGCTGAAGAAGAGAGCAGCAGCAGCAGCAGCAGCAGCAGCGATGGTAGCAGCGATGGCAAGGCCGATGCCGCTGAGCACCAAGAAGTTGTTAGCGCAACGCCAGAGGTCACCAAGAGCTCGTCCATGCCACCGGCCAATGGCAAGGTCGCCTCACCTACCGCCAAGACAACTCCAAGCAATGACAGTGAAAGCGATAGTGAAGAGGATGGGAAGGATTCCACCTCCTCCGAGGACAGCGAGGAGAGTGCTGATGACGACGCTGCGGATAAGGTGTCGACCAGCAAGACCGAAGTGTCGGCTTCAAACAACAAGGAGGCCAGCCCCCCAGCCACCCGCAAATCTACTCGCGCCGCTACAGCTGCCGCTACAGCTCAAAAAGCAACCACGCGGCGAGCGGCTCAAAAAGAAAAGGCCTCTCAGGAGTCAAGTGACTCGGAGGATGATTCGGAAGACGAAGCTGACGGTAAGCAAGCTGCCGCTCTTGACAGCTTGGCCATTCAAAGTGGTTGTTTTGATCTCCTTGCTTCTTTGTCTCTTATGCTTGCACTTCACTCACTGCTCCATGTCCTTATGTCGCACGGATGCGCCTTAGGTCTTTTCAACGATGCAGCCAAATCTAGTACGTGCTGGTTTGTTGCGATCTAATTCCGGTGAATGCCAAGCTTTGAAGTTGCTGACCGTGTTGGTGCTGGATATGCTACCGCGCAGAGACCAAGGCAACCAAGCCCAAGCCCAAACGTGTCAAGGCAAACCCTGTTCTGAAGAGCATTGCTGCTGTGAATGACCAATGGTACGTCGGAGGACTTGCGCAGCATTGAGTGCAACCTGTCCTGTAGACAGCCCAGGAAGGCTTGGAGGATGGCGCAATTCTGGTAACGCTTCGGGGATAACTGCTCCTTGTGTAGGGCGGAAGAGCAGGTGCACACCCCGCCACCGAGTACTGGCAAAAAGAGCGTCGGTCACAGGTACGGTGCTCCTCTTCACACCACATCTTTGACCATGGCATGTTGTGGTTGTCGAATCGTCTCGACAATGCACTGGATCAACCTGCGCGATGACGCTAATGCGAGATGTTGCTGGATACTTGTCTCATTCTTGATAGGGTACTAAGCCGTAAAAAAGCCAATGGCAAGAAGTAGATGTGCCTGTCTTAGTCTTGACAAGGCAGCCGAGCGGACGAGAACATAGCTTGAGCACTGTGCTGAAGGGATTCTTCTTCATCCTCCATATCATTTTGCAAGCGAGACCCGCCCCCATCTGGGTTGACGACATTGACATCTGGCAAGATTGTGAGGGAGGAGATTGATAGTTTGGATGTTTGTTCATGTGTCGTCTTTCGTTTTTTATGCCCCATCCACTGTCCGTGGATAAATCCATCATTCTCACCAGCGGTCTCCCTCCCTCTCTCTCTTTCGTCCCTGCGGTAATGTTCATGGCTCTTTATTTCAGTCACTTCCCTTGTGTAAGCCGCACCATCAATAAATTTGATGAATTTCTTTTATAGATAGAATAGTCGGCCAACAAAAGCTCGTCGAGTCGTTGACAGGGGCTTTTGCCTCGAGCGGAAACGGCCCCGTCGTTGACAGAGGCTTTTGCCTCGAGCGGAAACGGCTCCGTCCGGCCGACCAATTTCCGGCCGACCAATTTCCAAAAATTTACACAATTTTTCATGCTGTTTTTTTTTTTTTAGCTTGATTATCAGTACTTTGAGAGAAATCAAAAAGCATTTCGGGATTATCTTTCGCGTAAAGGCAGAGCCCTGCGTGAATGGCTGCTTATGCTTTTGCCTTCTTCTTTTGATCAAGCCACACAAGCAAACGCGGCAAACGATTGCCAAGTTGGCCATCGAGAAACTTTTTTGAACCAGCATGAACATCAGCCGCCGGGTGAACACTTTCTGCTTTTTTGTGAACATGATGGGTATAAATTTTTCCCTTCTTCAGAAGAAGAGCACCACAAAGCAAATTGTCAACCCAAGCATGTCAACGGAAAGCACGATTAATCGGACAGAGCCCGAGGCTGTTGGCCGCTAGTTGCAGTGAAACAGTACGTTCAAGGACAAGCATTTGGCCGCCAGCGGTAAGATAATTTAGGCCACATGATCCTAAAGATGAAAAGGAGGCGCCGAATAGGCGTGGATGGCTATACGCTCTTAGAACGTCACCGTGTCGTCACACTCGTCTGCGGTATGACCGTAGAGCTCGCAAATCTCACAAAAGTTTTCAGCATCCACACCAGGGGGCGGCGTGGGCCGGGGAGCCTTGGCTTCCTGGCTGACGATTGCGTTTTCAACAGGTTCGTCTGCTTCCTGCACCTCACTAAGGTCGGCCGTCTCGCTGTGGCCGGCGTATTCACTGGCTGCATTTGAGGTTCGGTGGCTTTGAAAAGCAGAAGCCAGGGCAGCTGCCGTGTCGGTCAAGTTGACTTCGGACATGTCCAAAATCAGTTTCTCGCCATCGTCGTGAATGCCCGCCACACGCGATGCAGCAGATCGGGCGGCAGGGGACTGGCTACACATTTCCAAAAGCTGAGAGACGTGAGCCAGGGGGTCATCGTCTACGCCATGCCCCACCTCCGACGGCGAGGCCGAGCCCATGTTAGTCTGGAAGGCCTGCTTGTAGCGTTCTGCCTCTTGCTTCCACATGTCTACTTCACGTAGCGCGTCCATCATGCCCTTTTGTGCATCAAACATGTCCATCTAGCCGGCCATCACACATGGTCATTCCGTGTATTAACAGTCAGCAAAAGTCCAACCCAGCAGATGTACAAACGACGCAAAGCAACAAGCCAAACCCGAGGTTTATGAAAGAACAAGCAAGGCACACGGTGTCCACCAGCGGGCGCCTTGCTTACCTCGCGAGCGGCCAGCTTGTCTGAGGTGGACTCGTAGAGCTCGACGGCCTCGTCTCGCTCAGCTTCGATGGCATCTGCGGCAATGGCCATGTCCTCTAGTCGCCACTCGTAGCGATTGATCATGCGGCTCAGCTAAAACAATGAAAAACAACGTACAGAATCATGAACAAACAAACAAAGAAGAGAAAAATAACAAGAGATGAGGCGTTGGAATTGCAGCTGGCAAAGCAAGGGCTGCTGCTCTTTTGACGCCTTGACAAAGCACGTCAGCAACTGACCGCCTTCCATTCTCGGATATGCTCATCGGCATAATGACATGCTGTCGAGGCTGCCTTGCGGGCTTCATCCAATTGCGCCCGAAGCTCGGCAATAGTGACTCGTTGTGCGTTGATAGTGGCCTGTAGCGAAGCTGTGCTCTTGCCGGCATCCGCGGTCCCATGCGAAGGCGATGGGGGTGGTTGGAGTGAAGAGCCCGATGTTGGTGTTGATGCTGGGGCAGAGGCCTGCGCGGAAGGTGAGTCTGTTGCCACAGTGGCTTGTGCTGCCGCGCGCAGCGCTGCAACTTCTTGCCGCAATCGGTCATTCTCAGCTTTGAGATTGCTCTGATCGGACAAAACAGGAAAAGCGGGTTAGATTGGTGTTCGTTAGCCCATGGGCGAGGTCATGGGACTTCTGTACCGCGTCATAGGTATCTTCCGGGGTCGAAGCACGCACGCCTTCGTCTTTGTGCTTGCTGAACATGGGCAGGCACGGTCACAAGAAAGTATCAGTGAGTGTCCGGTGCTCATCAAGTTGATAATGGCAAGAATCAATCATCATCCCGACATCATGCCAGCGTTCACAGGGCAGATGCTATGCAGGGCATTGATCAAGCTCAACAGCAGAAGGATAGACGGAAGGAGAGGTACAAACATACTCGGTGGCGACAGCAGCCATGGCTAGATTATTGGCCAACAGGCGGGTGCTCTTATTGGCGCCTGCAACCACATGTATCCGCGGGAGAAATTTATACGACATGAGATACCGTTCCGGGTGGCAGTGATGGAGTGGAACAGTCAGGGAGGCCGTGAGGTGGCGAATTGACGAGCAAGAGACTACCGTGATGCGTACGCAGATCAATGGTTGACGGGGCAATCTCCACGTCTCTTGCGCGTGTAAAAATGCCGTGCTTGGGCTCACAGGTGAAGTAGGTATTGCCTCCGACTGTGCCGTTGTGCTTGCCACCTAGAGGAAAAAAAAAAGGTCAAGCGGACGTGTTGACACGCGTGTATCAGTGGAAGATGCAAAACAAGCTGAGAGGGCATGGGTCGGAAGCAGCTAAGTGAAGGACGCACTGGGAGTATTCAGCTCGATGCCAAACCAAAGGCCAGGCTCGAGGTGCGTTTCACCCACAAAGCGGACCGTGCCAACCATTTGCTTTTTGACCACTACACGATCCCCTGGCTTATACTGCAAGCAATGGAACAATCGGCGAGGGGTCAGCTCGACAAGCGGCAAATTTATGACAATCTACACCTGTCGTCCATGTGATGAGACACCATACCGGATGTTGCTTCGTCAAGCGGCTTTGTAGGGTGAAAAGGCCATGCTTTGGTGGACAGCCGTCAAAATACTGGCGACCTTTAACAGTGCCGTTGTTTTTGCCAATGGGCTCGTCCATGAGGAGGCCGACCCAAGTGCCCTTGGTAAAGTCGACGGGACCGTAATACTTGATTTCAGCTCCATAGTATTTGTCGACCAGGACGCGGTCGCCAACTTGCCACACGGGACCACCGTTGACAAGAGACAAGTTGGCACCATCCATGGTGGGAGTTGTCGGGGTGGAGGACTCCTTCATGGCGTTTGAATGACGGGACAGCGGTCTGAGCAGGGAAGCTGTTCGCTCGCTTTACGAAGCCAAAGGCATGCGCTAGGACGCGTTGACAACTTGGAATAATGTTCTGACGGCATTAAGGGGACAGGTTGACAATGTAGAGGCAGCGCTGGTGGGCGAGAGATGGTTTGTGTGGTCGTCTCAAAAAAAAAGAAGAGGTATCCTTGCAATGAAAATCCTCATCAGGGACACTCGGGCTGAGGTGCAGCACCTAGAGCATGGCGGCTGACGCAAACGCTTGTCTAAGAAGAATACACGCCAGACCAGGCACTTCCAGGCACGGTTTTCCAAGTTGCTGCCAAAAAAAGACGAGGCGTAGCGGTTGGAGGCTGGACCTGCGGCAAGGGGGTTGAAGAAACGTGAGAAGTGACACGTGTATCAGCATCAACACATCAGCAATTGCCTGCGTGGCCACAACGCTGTACGCCCATGCATAATGCGGGGGAGATGGCAATGTAAAACAAGCAAGCGGCAGCTCTTTCCCGCGTCCGGTGCCTGCATCCAGGCATTGCGACCCGGAGCGCGAGCGCACTGAACGCGTCGCAGGCCACACCATCAAGCTCACACGTTCACAAACCCCCCGTACCTCTCCCCCTTCCCCCACTCCAGACCACGTGCTTACCAAATAAACAGGAGCGCCTAAATTGAGGCTATCAGGGGGCTCTGCTCTGCAGTCATACAGCTCAGAGGAGGCGCTGCCGTTTCTCCTCCAGCAGTCGCAGTCACAGTCACAACAACAACAACAAAAACGAAAAAAAAAGCTCAAAAAAGGCGCTGTGAGCAAAACAATAAAATACAACAGCAAAACAGTGTTTTGCAACACCATTTCCTGTCCTCTTTTGACCCGGTCCCTCTGTACTCTTAAAGGTTTAGTATTCTGAATTTAAACACTTAAAGTGAAATTAGATCACACATCATAAAGTGAAAGTGTGATAAATAATGCACTAAATTATTACGCTACGTGTGTACTTACATCTGGTCAGACGGAGCGAATGACATCTGGTAATTGATCTGACATGCTGACAATGGGGGTCGGGCAGTGGAAGGTCGGTGGGAGGAGGGGAACGAGGGCGGCTTTGGTCGCGTTATCGTCGAGCGGGCGCATGTCGTAGGGGTCCGTGTCCGTGTTGTAGAGCCTAATGGAGGTCGACCAGGCCGCGAGGCGGGGGGTGAAGGAGTATTGGGTCAGGTTTAGAATGTGCGAGGGGAGATCAAAATGATAGGGGGAAGCTGGTGGTGGATCGTGGCAGCTTACAGCACTTGGTGGCCTTGGACCATGTAGCGGCCGCGGGCGGTGCTGGGGACCCCGATGCATTCGCCCTTGCAGCAGATGAGCTTGAGAATGCTGCCATTCAGCGCCTGGACGACCATGCGCCAATTGTAGGATTCGGCGGTGACTGCCGCCGCAGCCTCGGTCACTGGCGGGGCAAAGGCCGTGGCTTGCAGTCCCGAGGATACAAAGCTACGGTAGGATCGGGCACCCGCAACATCACCCTCGAGCAACGCCCGCAGCGACTGCGTGGTCATGCCCTGGTCCGGCGAAATGCCTGCGTAGTCGAGAAACGTGCCGGCCAGGTCCATGGTGGCCACTGGCCGGTCGCTGACCGTCTGTTGTACACCGCGCAAGAACCTTGTTGTGAGAGTGGCTCGATGAGTTTGGGCAAACGCCAGGGCATCCGGTCGATAGCACGCACAGAATTGGCGCGGACAGTGAGGCCCATGCACAAGAGGGGGACGGACACCGAGCCTTGCCACGGCATCGTCTTGCCCGTGTCTTGATGATCCCACAACATCTCGCCGTGGTCAGAGGCCACGCAGGTCAGTGTGTTGGCACGCTCTGCCTCTGGCACCGCAGCCAATACCAGGGCAAAGAGTCGGTCCAAGTTTTCCAGCTCAGCCGCATAGTCACAGCTATCGCAGCGCACCCCACCCCCCATCAGGCAGTCTCCATCTAATGGCCATCAGCAAACATGTGTGTGGGGAGCGGGGGGAACGTACCGTCTCCCGTTGCTGGGTTCGTTGGTGCGAATACAGTGCTCGGGCGTTTGGATGTCGGGGTTATCCACGGGTGCAGGATATGAGCGATTGGCCTGTGAATCGTGCTGGCTGGCAGTCACCAGAAAAGGCGAGTGAGGCCCAGGGAAGTTGACCTGCGTCAACGTGGATCAAGTGGTGATGAGGTTCAAGATTGAGAGCACTCGATGAGCCATGGCAAGACAAATTTCGGCGGGACCGAAGCCTAGGGGAGCACAGACCTGCAGAAACCATGGTTGGCCTGGGGGTTTGCGTTGTAGCAGCGTGATGGCGTTTTGCGCCGTCCAGTTGTCTTCGTAGAGCTATGGTTCCAGCACACACCACCATCCAGTCATCAAACGAGTGCCTTAGGCGACCTCGCGCCATTGCATGTGCCTTGATGCGGTAGACAATCTCTCCCCCTCCCATCATATAAAAAGGGACACAGCAGCACAAAGAGGTTGGTGCTGCGGGTTGAGGGCTGGGTGCGAAGGGCTTACTTCGTCTGGAAAGGAGCGGCGATCACAAAGCGGGCTGGTGTGGTTGATGGCTTCGGTCATGCAAGCGTAGTGTGCTGCCCATGCTGAAAGGCGGGTGCCATTCTGAAGGGTCACCTGATGATCTTGAAGCATGTAGCCATACATTTCGTGTGGTGCGGGGTACGTGTTGATCACATCCTCCTTGCCACTGTACCGTAGCCCTATAGGAGCATTGGTAGAGCTGGGTATAATGCGAAGAACACACACACACACACACACACACACACACACACACACACACACACACACACACACACACACACACACACACACACACACACACACACACACACACACACACACACACACACACACACACACACACACACACACACACACACACACACACACACACAAATACTGCTCCTGCCCAGATGCAACAACATCTTTTGTGTCCCAGTCTTCTTGCCCCTCCTACAGAATCGTGTGGGTGGTGCACATACCATCGGAGAAACCAAGTGCTGCCATGTGCTCCGTGCCATTGCGTCCTGGCTGGGTGGCCTGCAAAACGAATCTTTCCATTAGAGCGTAGGAGGGGGGAAGGGGCCCATGCTGTTGATCCTTGGAGGCCTGACCTTGGTGAGGTCGTCCTTGCCAGCGGTCATGACATGATATCCCCCTTGATCACGCAGTAGGCGGTAGAAGGTGGGGATGGAAGTATTGTAGTCGTTGCAAAAGTTGCAGGCCACACCGGCTCGATCATACTCGCGTCCAGCGGCCAAGCAACTGCGGCTCGGCGCACACACGGGTGCCGGCACAAACGCCTGCGATCCGAATCGAGGAGAGTGCGGGTCACCTCACCTCGGGCAGCCCAGATCATGGAATGATTGAACGAGGGCAAACATTGGTAGCCGTGACATCTTGCCTCACCTTGGTAAAGCGGGTGCCGTTGGCGGCCATGGCCCGCAGTGTGGGCATCTGCAAGGCCAACCGATCTGGTTCGGCAGCATGGGTAAAGGTGTCCCAATCAAACCGCCATTGATCGGGGAACAAGAGCAAAATGTTGGGGGGCTGTGGACCCGCCATTGCCATCACACCATTCTGGCCTACCAACAGCACCAGCACCAACACTGGTACAAGCATCCGCCCCCAGCAGCACCACCCCGCTGGCGCAAACGTTCCTGCCGCCCATCGCCACGATGTTTGTGCTCGTATCACGGTTTGTTCAAAAACAAAATAAAACATCACACGAGAGAGAGAGAGAGAGAGAGAGAGAGAGAGAGAGAGAGAGAGAGAGAGAGAGAGAGAGAGAGAGAGTTTGAGAGAAAGAGAAAGAGAGGAAGAATTGGTTTGGTCGGTTTGAGAAAGAGAGAAGTAAAGAGAGGAAGAAGCGGAAGAGAAGGAGAGGGCGGTATCGATGGCTCTGACTCATACGTACGGCAGCGTGAGGGCTCGAGTATGTCGATGTGTTGGATGTGAGCGTGTGTGGTGCGCGTGC